AAATCCCCTTCCACCCCATGTATGGACGCACCCGCGACTATATATAGCATCCACCGACTGATTCTGCTTTCTTTCCAATTGGACCAGCTTCTGATCATCGGCATCATCTTCGAACGATTCCACTCATTCATTCATTCATTCATAACGTGCCCTTTTTTACCCTTATGATGACCTTGTCGTCTTTTTTTTAATTTTTTTTCAAGAATATTCTCACATTCTGACTTCCCACCGGGTGTCAGCTCACGATCATGAATTGGCACACGCAGTTGTCAACAAGGCGTTTCACAAGTTGCCATTTCTGTCCGTTGACTCGTAAAATGTCGACATCATTTATTTGCGAGAAGGTGGCGAAAGCCCGCCGGAATCTTCTAAAGGGGTCTGGGGAGGAGGAGGGGCGGTTCTGCCGAGAGGGCGCCTCGGCTGCACACTTGTGGACGGCGCTGCGTTATTTTTAAACGTGTCCGTGACACGGACACGCCTAAAGTCTGACTGTACGTGCGCAAGTGCGAAAGTGAACCTCAGGGGGGGGGGAATTATTTCCGTGTCCAGCGACAAGTCGAGCGCAAAAAAACGTAGTTGAGCTGAGCGCATGGCTGGAAAGTTTCGGTGCGGGTCGAAGGGGGGCGGTTGCGCCGTTGTGGGAGGGAACGCAGCCAACTTGTTTGCCATGCAAGAGAAGGGGCTCCCTTTTTTTTTTTTTTTTTTTTGGGTGAGCGCAAAGTACGTGAAAAACGGAACCGCAAGACCGCTTGCAAATGGTGTCAAGGTGGCCTCGATGGAGCGGGTGACGGTGACCACCGTCGACCCCCTAGTTGTACGTCCGTGCGTGACAACCTCCAGCGCCACCCGCTTCTGAGCTCCAAGTTTGAATGCGCCGGTCCGGGCGAGTTGTCCGGGCTCTGTTAGTGCAACGCTTCCCTCTGGTGGCCAACCTTTGAACACGACACTCGACTGAGCAGAGAAGGAGGGAGCTCCAGCATTGCCGAGTCAACACGAAAACGATCCCGTTTTTTTTTCCTTTGGCTTACATACACGCAAGACGTAACCGAAACCCGTTCACGACAAGGGGTTGTCATGAAAACCGTGCGAGCGGCGGTGCCAAAGTTGAGCGATCGGGAGGGGGGGGGGGGGGGGG